AACTCCCTTTTTTTGAGGAAGTTTTTCCTTCTCAGACGTTCTCGCCCTCTTGCGAGGGCTTCTGCTCCCTTCTCTTCTCCTGCTCGACTTCTCCCGATCCTTGTATATGAATTCCTTCAAATGCCCTGCCTTAATTAGCCTTTCAATCTCGTCCTTAAGATGTCTGCAGTCGTCAGTATTGTGCCCGTAATCCTTATGAAATCGACAGTATAGATTACTTTTTGGTCTCGTCGGTCCGTCCTTCCTCGTCTTGGGCCATCTGACGACATTGTCATGAATTTCTCTTTCTATTACCTCCAAAATGGGCCAACAAAGGGGTGTATTAAGTCGGCCTCCAACCTCTAGATCGCCCATCTATTTCTGCTCGTGGGGACCCTTCATTTCCCCGGTCGAGGAAATTTTCTTATCCCTCCTCTCATCCCGAGAGTCCACTTTACTCGCTTTAACCGCCTGCAAGAAGTCGACTTCAGCTTCCTCGATATTGATATACTTCGCACATCTCCCCAATACTTCATCAAACGTTCTGTCGGGGTGCTTTGCTAAAGAATTCCTGCATAGGCCCGGTAACAACCCTCGAGTCAGACCTCCTGCCTTGATTTCCTCCGACGCCCTAGGCACCTCGACGCACGCTCACGTGTATCTCGCCACATAATCTCGCAGTGACTCGCCTTCCCTCTGCTGAATGCCCATCAAGGTCAGACACGATTTCTCTTGCAGTTTGACACTTGCAAATTGATTGAGAAAGCTCGCGCTGAATCCCTCAAAGTCCTTGATGGCTCCCGCTGGCAGTTGATGAAACCAATCTTGCGCAGATCCCCGCAAAGTCGTTATGAAAGCTCGACATTGCACCGGGTCATTATAACGATGTAGAACCGCCATATTCTCGAAACTCCTCATATGACGGGATGGGTCAGTCGACCCGTCATAACTTATGTTTAGATCACGAAAACCTTGCGGCAGGTCGGCATCCAGAATGTGCTGCGAGAACGGATGTCCACATGAGCCTCCAACTTTCCTCCCCTCGACTCGGGCCTGTAAATCGCGAACTTGGGCCAGCAACTGCTCTAGTGTCTCGTCCCTCGCCTGCGGATTGGCAGTCCTAATGGAGGATGCTTCTTCCTCCACCCTCCTGATCTGCCTATCATTGGATTGGGCTTGTTGCTCGTGATCACGGGGTGGCAACTCGACCCTATGTTGTTCGACCCTAGGTTGCTCCATCCTAGGTTGTTCGACCCTGGGTTGCTCGACCCTGGGCGGTTCGACTTGCACCTGTTTGAGTTGGGCTGCCACTGCCTCTGCAATCATTCTCTGCATCTCACTCCTCGTCATAGTCATCGTTTGCTCCTCGACCTGGGGTGATGGTCTCGCCCCTTGCTCCAGCATTCCAGACTGCTTTCCCAAGCTCAAAGCTGTTTTGGTCGACTCATTCTCATCGGTTCCCGTGTCGGTAGCCCTTGTCTGGCTAGATCCTCTTTATGATAGCCCTGGAATCTTCACCCCAGGTGGTGTGATGGGTGTTTCTTCCTTCCTACGCGCTCCCGACGGCGCGTGCCCTCCGAACGTGGGAAATCGAGCACCTGCAGCGGTGGTCTAGGGCCAGGAATCGACGACGGCCGTTTATCTGTCCACGCTGCCTGAAAGTCCTCGTTCAGATTTCTCGACAGTCCTTCCTTCTCCGCCATGTCAAACAGATCGGAACAAGGTGCAAAGCTCTTACTTCCTTCAAGAACTCCCCACAGACGGCGCCAATATGATGGGTCTCCTCCTAGATCTGGAGTGAACCGGTGAAAATGAGCTCCGGTCTGTTTGAATCGTCTCTAAGTCGTCCGTGAGCCGCCGTGAACACCTGGAAGAACTCAACAATGGAAGTGTTTTCCGGTAGGAGAGAAGATGAGCTCTGCTCAGTAGGAGCAGCAGCTGAATAATGAATGGAGAGAATAAAAGTTAGGGTTTGGAGTTACCTCAGCCCCTTTATATAGGGGTAGAAACACTTACTTGAAGTACCTAAAATGCCCTTGCCGACTTAAGCGAAGTGTCCAAAATGCCCTGGTCGATTCGCATTCTACCCACTCCTGAGTCAGCATCTAGATTTCTTCTCATCCTATGTGAACTCACTTGGGGATCCTCCATATGCTGCATCTAAGTGTATCAAATCGTCGGAGGTCTTATAAGTTGACTTGGGACCTTGCCGAGTCGATTTAAGGTTACATATGTATCCGGGGCTCCTAGAGTGCCTGCTCGTCTTCTTCAGTGAAGTCGTCTTGTACTCGGTCGACTTCCTAAAGTCGACTGGAGACCGTGGTCGGACCAGTGGCCTTTGAATGGCCGATGGGCCAAGTCGACATCGTAGATGTCGACTTAATGAAGTCGTCCGCAGTCTATAGCTGGGTAATCCTCATTTGAATCGGGCTATGATAATAGGGCTATATCAGCCGTATAGTCAATAAATAATTCATCAACATCTCAAATTTTGGATTCCAATTCGAAACCTAACCTAACACTAATTAAAATTAGGCAAACAACATTCCAATTGAAGCCATTTTCAAAACCATATTTCATTCAAATCGTGCAAACAACATTCCAATTCAAAGCCCTAACCCTAATTCAAACCTAATTTCGAATTCAAAACCTAATTTCATACCCTAAATTTCTCATGTATTCATTTACCATATTTTCAATTTAGAAGAAATATTTACCTTGTAGACGGCGGTGCGGCGGCGGTGGTTTCAACGACGGAGGTTCTCTTCGGTCTCTTCTCTACTCGGTACTCTCTTCTTTCTTTTTTCTTCTCGCTTTTTTCCGTCTGTTTCTGCTCGCGTAAGGAGGAAGAAGAAGAATTTTTTTATTTATATTTAATATAAAACCGTATTCTGGGAGTACAGTTTACGTTAATTATTTGTAAACCGTATTCTCAGAATACGTTTTACTTATAATTGTAAAACGTATTCTGAAAATAGGTTGTATTTATAAAACATAAAATGGCATATTGGCCTTGAGGGGAACCGAACCCGGGTCTGGGCGAGTCAAACCCTCAAGGCACGTTCAATACCATCATGTCGCAAGGCAGTGTGCGTTTATTATTGCGCAACTTATATACATAGTCATATACATATAATATAGATTATATTATATAGTATATAGTATGTTACTATATAAATATAGTATATAGTCTATATACTATGTCATGTTACTATAATATATATAGTATATAGTATATAACATATAGTATATATAGTATATAGTATATAACATATAGTATATAGTACAGGGTTAAGTTCAAGTGAGAATGATGCTTAGTGAAAAAAATAAGAATGTATCTTAGCCATACGATCCAACATCCAACGTTCATTAAAATTCCAATTTTGGCTTAGCATGTATCTTTAGTTTTCCTTTTGTGTAATCTGGTTGTTTTAGTAGGTATTTATAGAACACCTTGGTCTGTGGTGTCTCTCTATTATTGGATCTAGTTAGATCACGGATTGTATTTTGTACATTCAGTGCTATAATAGTTAACTATCGTTTAAAAAAAAAAAAAAAATACTCATTAAGGGGTATTTGAGACATTGTACAAACCTCAATAACACCCACATAGGCACAATTCTCTCTCTCTTTCCTCACCCACTCTCTCTCTCTCTCTCTCTCTCTCTCTCTATATATATATATATATATATCTCTACTATACATATAAGAAGACATTGAGGACCAATTTTGGGCTTGACATGTGTCTTTTTCTGACCAAAATGCCCTTGCTTTGGCCTATTTTTTACACAATTGCCACTTCAGTTTAAATATATAAAATTATGTTTTGGCCCTTCTAGACCCGTCTCTTGCAAAGCCCCCAGAAAACCTGCTGAGACAAGCATGCAACAATGAATTAAATGTTAATTTATGGCTGTAAAAAAGTACCAGCTTTTGCCGACACCGCACGTCTTCCTCCTCCAAAAAGCCAAAAATTAGGGAATACCACTCATTCTTCTACATTTTCTAAATCCAAATCCAAATCATAGCTACTCCACATTCACCCATTCCTTCATCTTCATTTCTCAAACCCTACATTCTCTTATTCCACATTCACCCTTTTTTTCAGAGAACTAAAGATTTCACCCAAAAAAAAAAAACCTAATGGCTAGAAGGGGAGATACACCACCTCTGGCGTCGATGGGCGGCGTGGGCGCACGACGGGTGCGCCGCCCCGGGGTGTCAGTCGGAGTGTCATGGCTTCAATCTACCTGTTTTAGGCCCGAATTGGGCGACTAATTCGTCAAATTTGAAATTATTTTTTCTTATGCTTTTCATTTCTTAGACTTTTTAGGTTCGATTATGATTTTGGATGATAGGTCAATTTACTATTATTATTGTTTTTAATGATTTTAATTCGACAATATTAAGGGAGATGATTTTGTTCACCGTGGCTTCGATCTGCTAAGGAGGTACGTCTCTTTTTTTTGGGAGGGGGTGGGTTACTTCACTTTTTCTGATTCAATCTCTAATCCGTGTGTTTTACATCGTATTTTTTCGATCCACCTACTCAATCGCAATTTGTTGTTTGTGTGTATGTTTATGCAATCCTCTCCCTCAGATCTTAACAAAAAAAGAAAAAGCCAAATTTCTGAAAGCCAAAAGAACGTGGCGGCCACAAGAATATGGACGACGGTCGACCAACGACAGTGCAAGGAGCAGCTGCCACGGCGAAAAGGTGGCGAAATCTGCGAGGCGAGCCGGAGATAGATAGAGAGATGAAGACCCGACGGGATGGCGAGCCGGCGACATAGAGAGAGGGAGACCCGGCGGGACGCCAAGCCGGCAATAGTGAAAGTGGGAGACACGACGATCAGCAAATTCACTTCAGTCCGGCGATAAAATGCCCGACATTTGGTTAATCCATGTTGTCTGATTTTTTCGTACAGGATATGATTTCTCCCAAATAATCCCCTTGTTCTATAACCTAGCCGACTCACCTTTTATTTCTTAGAACACTCTCTCAGAAATTGTACTCACATATGGGAAGGTGCTTGAGAAAGCACGGGGTATCGGTGTCGTCGGGTTTCGGGTGGATTTTTCCAGGTAAATGTTTGGCTTGTGTTCAAGTCTACCACAACTGTGGATGAAGGTATATTTGTTTTTATGTTATTGTCCTTTTGGCAGATATCTTTAGTGATGGTCAATGCTTGCGAGTTTTTCTGTTTAATTTATTTTTTTCTCTGGAACATCTTTGGAAATGCTTGTAGCAAACATAATAACTGGTTTTTCTGTGAGTGATGATGACTGGAAGTGGTAAGCTTACCTCTTCTCTCTCTCTCTCTCTATGTGTGTGTGTGTGTTTTTCCTTGTATAGGAATGAATCAACGAAAGTGGGAGTCTGAACGATAAAATTGTTGACATTTTCTGTTCTTCCTTTTTTTGGCACTGATAGTGATGTCCAACAACTACCACTACGTAATGAGATACCTTATTAGAGAAGGATAAAATTCAAACATTGGCTCAATCAATAAATTACTGAGGTTTTATTTTTCGAAAGCCTTTGTTTGGAGGTTTGACTTCGGCTTCTTATGATATATGCATTATTATGTTGTTAGTCTATTTCGTAGATGTTTGTAGAGATTTTGTTGGGAAACAGCTGCTTATATTGCTCCCGAAGTTTTATCGAGGAAAGAGTATGATGGCAGGGAAGGTAATAATTCATCGCTTTAGTATACTTTATAATTTTCGAGCAATTATTTAACACTTTTGTGGTCCTAAAGATTGCAGATGTTTGGTCATGTGGGGTCACATTGTACGTGATGTTAGTAGGTCCGTACCCATTTGAAAATCCTGACGACTCCAGAAATTTCAAGAAAACAATCAATGTAAGCTATAAGATTAAGGCTCGTGAGATGTTGATTTCAGTTTAGTTCATGCACAACAATTTATTAATTTTTTTCCTTTAAAAAAAATCTGCAGAGAATACTCGACGTTCACTATTCGATCCCAGATTATGTTAGAGTTTCCAATGAATGCAAACATCTCTTGTCCCGAATATTTGTAGCTGACCCGGAAAAGGTAAACAATTTAATCATTTTTTTTTTGTCTTCTAATTTGTTGTTTTGCATTGTGCAGAGGATAACCATACCAGAAGTTAAGATGCACACTTGGTTTCTAAAAGGTGTAAATGTCGAATTTGAGCAAGTAGACAAGGAAGCTAATATGCAAGTGAAAAATGTCGAGGATTATTGTTCTCAAAGTATTGAAGAAGCTCTTTCTATAATTCAAGAGGCCCGAAAATCGGGTGATGGCCCGAAATTGGATGCTCATTTGTTTGATGGGAGCATGGATCTCGATGAAATAGACACCGATGCTGATATAGACGATGTTGAGACGAGCGGGGATTTTGCTTGTTCTCTTTGAGGTTGGCTTTTGGTTTTAAATTTCAATCCAATTAAATCTATAAAAATTGAAGTTTCATTATCTGTTGGTCCCTATTTTACATTCACTGTATTAAATATAGTGGATTTGATGTGTAATTCAACTATGTTTATGTTTATGTGAGAGAGCCTTTTGATTTTTTGTTATGTTTATGTGATTCTTTTGATAGATTTATTTTTGTTTTACTGGTGTTTGAGGTTTTGTTCGTCTTTGGAGTTTCATTATTTGTTCGAGTCTTTGGAGTTCTTTATGTTTATGTGATCCTTTTCTCATTTTCTGTATTTTTGTTGTGTTTCGAACTCAGTATGGATGTGATGCGGAATTTACTTTGCTTCTGCATGTGGTTTGAAATCTATCATTAAACCAGTGATTAGAACAACAAATATATTATCAATTTTCATAACATTTTTAGAAGCATCGTGTAGGTATATGTATTTTTGAATATTGATAAATATTGGTTATAGTTATAGACTGGACTAGAGCCGGCTGTGCATGCACAGCCGTCCGGGTGGTGTTGATCTCTTGTTGCAGCTACTGTAATTTATCCACATCTTATTTCTTTTGTTTATAATTTAACTGAACTACTTTCTAGCTTTGTTAGTTTAGAAGGGTATGAGAACGATAAATGTCAATCTGAAATTGATTGTCGAGTGATGTTGATCTCTTGTTAACAAAACAGAAGCTGGTGCAACAGTTGGAAGCAGTTGTAGATCCTTCATGGCAATACAAAGTTGTAGGGGGGCTAATGCCAAATTTCTTGTTGGAGGTGCAATTGTCGATTAATGGGCTGACTATCGGGATATTGATTTGGGGCCTTGACTGAGCAGGGACGTGCCTACGGTCCTAGATTCCAGGAAGATTGGACCTGGGAGACTTTTCTTCATTTCACCACCAGATTCCGACGAATATGAAACTAGAATTCGTTCTTTTTCTTCGATCCGTTTCTGTTTATTAATTTTTTGTGATCTTCCCTATTTTGCTGGTTATCATTTTAGCTTTGTTGGTATTTAAATTTTCATTTTTATTGTTGTTGAAGTAGAGTCTCCCTGAATGTAAGATCTGTGTTATCACAAGGATCTTATGTTACTAAGTGATTACATAGAGCAAATTTATTTCGTCGATACCCAAATTGACCTTGGTTTCGTTGCATGATATATTTTATTCTTAGTACGTTTTAACTTTTGATTAGTTTCTATATATTTTTTTCCCACATACTAATTGACTAATTATAAAGATCTATAGCACACAGAATGACTCTTGATCCGGTAAAACTTGAGTTAAAATTGAGAGTGGCTAAAATTGAGAATGTTACGTCGATACAAAAAACATTTTGAACAAACAAAAAAATATGTGGCATTTTGGTTGCTCCATAAAATGTGGGTAAGTGTGTTTTAAAAATTTTACAAATACTAGATATAATTATAGACTGGACTAGGGCTGGCTGTGCGTGCACAGCCGGGTCCAATCTAGTATATATATATTTATATATATCATAACACACGCACGCCCAAAAATCACACCCACACAGGCACAATTTGGCCTCTTTCTCTGCCGGCCAACTTCCGCCGCCGCACATCCTCCGCCGCCTCACAGCCTCCGATCGCTGTCGCACGCAACCACCGTGAAGCTCTTACCAGCGGATGAGATCATCTTCCACAGCCATCTTCTCTCCAACCTCCACGGCCGAGATCGTCTTCCCCGATCGTCCATCAACTCCAACGCAGGCATCACCATCCGTTTCATTGCGGTCGCCCACCAAGCAGACCAGAACCGCCGTCCCGACTCCATTATCACTCCCAATTTCGCCGTATTCGCTCACAACCTGAAGCCCTAGGTCTGTCGTTTTAACCACCTCGACCACCAGCCACAATTTCACAAATTTCCGGCGACGGCGGCAACAGGATACAATGCGACGGCGAGTCCAATTCGAGGTGGGAGATGGCGGTGACAATTTGTGTACATTTGGGGACGGACAGATGGACGGGATTAAGATTTTGGAGTGGGCATTGAACTGATAATTGGATAGTTTATAGGGACCTTGATGCAATTTTAAATATTTTATTATATTTACAACATTATTAATGAGATAAATTACAATTAATTAAAAATTCAATAAATGTGTATATTTACAACATTATTTATGATATAAATTACAATTAATTAAAAATTCAATAAATGCACATTAATGTTAGTTAAATGCACATTATAGAATATGTATATGCCTATTAAAAATGTTCAACCCACTTGTACCAAAAAAAAAAAAAAAA